TTTTTTGATAATTATAGGTACAACATCATCAGCCTATAAGTGGCCGCTACCGACCAAAGGCCTTACACAGAGAAGGTAATCACCACGCTTGCTCAATGCGGTTCATATTAAAGTAAAGGGTGCAATCCTAACAATAGACGTATTCATATGTTGCGACTACTATTTATAATCTATTTATATTAATTCATAATATGTTGAAACTAAAATCTCCATGAGCAGAGTTCAAAGTTAATTGCACCACTATTGCATATTTGTACAAATAACAATTAATTCATTAGTAATAGTGGGATTGGCTAAAACCCCAGAATGTAGTACCTACTCAACGTGGTATTATTACAATGCCTATAATATTTTTATGAAGCTCTTGTTCTGGGGAAATACGACAAGTTTTGCGTACGCCTAGCACTCGAAGACGTCATCAGCAGAACTGTTGGAGGACGTAGTGGACAAGAATCGTCATGCCTGAGATGCGTCAAAGGTAAAGGATGTTTTTATACGAAATAGCTTGTACACTACTATCTGTTTTCGTACTTGATAGGTCAAACGTTTATCCCCCTATCTCGCTTGGTGGTAAACGATGAAGCTGTCTGATTCCGAATCTCAAATCCTAGAATTTATTAGAGGTATATTGTTAATAGTGGTTAAAGTACGGGTCATTAATCATTTTTGGTAAATACAAAAAATAATTTGAAATCGGAATTTTAATATTTTGAATTCATAATTTCATTGTGAACTCCTACATCTTTGCCATACATTTAATTATAAACGATTGTGACCGTCGCATGCGCAAATAAATTCATTGAATACAGCCAATGACGTAAATCTTGTGGTAAAGTGATGATACCCGTTTCTGGGCACAAATACTACTTAGGTACTTGGCGACGACTGTATTTCATTCAGGACAACAAATATATATTTAGGAATTACATATAATATTTAGGAAGGTATGTACGTGTGGTTTTAGATTAAACATCGATATAAATACACACATGCATAACTTTTCCGGTAAAAAAGGAAATTGTTGAATTTAAGTGAAAATATATTTTAAATTATTAGGTACATTAAAGCGTATAAGTAATACTAGGTATTAAGTGATTCCTTGCTTAGTGGTTTTTATTTATAGGTAGTGCCGTAATAACATAATGCTTATCATATTATTCCCCATTCGGTCATTGCATAAATAATTACCACATTGAAAATAAATAGGACTCGTTTAAATTGGTTTAAGTAGTCTTAACCATCTCATGACAATTATTAAATTCATAGTATAAATGCCGGACCGGAAATCGAACCGCCACGTAGTCTAGATCCAGGTGACACAGCAACTACTCAGTCAGTGAGTAATGAGTCAGTGAGTGTCAGCGAAAGTGTCGAAATGACTCAGTAGCAGTGTAATCGACTGCTGATATCGCATTATCGCAGCTATCTACGTCACTGCCTATATCAGATGACGAGGACCTTGGAACACTTCGAGAAAAAGTAATAGGTACTATTACTTCCATAAAAAATAATATTTTACGTTAAGCGGTTTTGATGAACTCTATTCCTAGAATCAGATGATATAGTTATTATAGTATACCTCTATTTTGTCGTCAGAAAAGCGGGTAAAAATCCAATTACTAATTTTTGTCCCAAATAAGCAAACAGGACAGGCTAAGTCAAATCGTTTAATTAACTCGTCGAGTACCGGTTTTGTAGACACAATTATAGAACAATAGGTTGCGGTCACCGGTGACCGCTTGGTGTTTGACAGTTTAATAATAGAAAAGAGTATCTATATAGTTTTATGGGGCAGAGCGAGCAGACGGATCACCTGATGCCCCTGATGGTAAGCAAGCGATGGCCTATAGATGGATTCTCGCAACACTAGAGGATGGATGGTAGGGGAGGATTGGACATCAAATTTAAAGTTCGAGTCGAACATAATGTAACCAACAAGGCAGCACTTGACATCGAATTCAGTGACCCTGATCTAATCTCTATATTATTATATTGGCACCTATCATTTACTGCCTTGTGTACTTCATGTACGTGTGTCATGTAGTGAGCCATATATAGCCATTTATGGCAGTTGTCAGTGTCACACGTCATGCCAATTACGATGACTATCAGAAAATTAAACTGATATCAAATGATGCAAGTCGATATCATCATTCATTGATTAGTTAATTACTTATTTTTTATTTTTATAAAAGGGTAGCGGACTTCAAGATTTTTACTGACTTCAAAAAAAAAGGAGGAGGGACTATGTTTGGCTGATTGTTGTAAGGTCTTTATATTTGATCTTTTTTCGATCCAGAATCTTCTGGCAGAAATACTCTTTCAAAATGGCTATTCTTTTGTTTTCATTGCATTGACAAGGCAAATAGCACTGTATAACTATTGTCTATTAGTTACAGGTGATTGATTGACTGCTTGACAAACACGCACAACTGCAACGTTGGGATAGACAACTAAAATTTTAAATGGCCTTGGACTACAGAGGAGAATAAATAGAGAACTCCATAAAATTTCTGCGGGAACGAGGAAAATGAGTTGTTATTCGTAAAGGAAAAGGTTACTAAGAGTTAGTCGGCCATAAAATATACGTAAATATAATATCGTCCATAATTGTGGTAACATGAGCGTGTGTGTGTAGCGGTGCATGGTCAAGTAGTGCACAATGCACATGACTGTGTGTCTGTGTGCGTGGCCTCGCTCGCCAGACATCGCGGTGCCTGGCGCGCCTCCGGCTTGCATGACTCTAGCTGTCACTACGCAACCACACACACACACACACACTGTACGTACAGTCAGGCATGCAAGTGTGTGTGTATGTGTGCAGGCTACCATTGTCAAGTGAACACTATTATGTGCACAGACAATGCCTGTTGCAGCTCGTCTCGTCTAGACTCGCTGTTATCTGTCCCTATTCATGCCAGTCACCTGAATGCAAGTCAAATCGTTGGAACTAATGATATGAAGTAAATTCATTTGTTTACCGCCACTGTTACAACATCGACGAACGCGAACGCCAGCTTTTCTTTAGATTCTATGCAATATGCCAAGCAAAATTGTCTTACAACAACAACCTTCAATTCATTTGTGTAAATTCGCAACGTTGTAATCTTTACATAATCCTAAAAAGTCATCAGTGTTAATCCAGGATGCCTGCTTACCCCACATTAAACCTCCATAACCGGCGCAAATGATGAACAGGAACAGTCATTTACGATGTGGCTCCAGAGGAGACGAGGCTATTACAGGCTATTACAGGCTATAATTCATTGCGATACTGTGCAACGCGCAATAAGTCTTATCCCTGAAATTTGGGGGTTACTTATCTTAAGAAGGGGATTACTTCCGTACCCGCATCGTACTAACACACAGAGCAGAAGGTTCATTTTCGATACAGACTAGCGGTCGAAATAAATCACTGATTTCAGTCCATAAGTTGTATGAAGTTTCAGTCAAAAACTTGATCGAACCGTAGATTTTGCATTATGATCGGTTATTAATTTTTTTCATAAGGATATCAATATAAATGTATTAGACCAATGAGACTCATAGCTTAATTTATAACCCTCACAACTTTGACGGCGTCCTTACGTACGACAACTTTTTTGAAACCAGTTGTTGACGTCAGACACGTCTTTTCTGGAAATAGTTGTCAGTGGTACTTTTGTTCATATAATTTTACGGTGCAATATCTCATTTCTGGTTCAGTTTACGACATCCACCGTTAACTGTGAGCTCTCGTAAAGTTGATGTTAATTAAACATACACTGTCTTAACGTACTCCCGACGAGATACCCTCGCGGTCGACCTGCGCTCTGCGTTTGTTATCATTTCACTGTTGAGTGACGAGTGATCATCAAATGCCTGACTGTCAGTCACAATGAGGAGGCTCGGATTCCTTGATTATTAATATTTTAACCCTCTAAACAGTAAACTGCATGTGAAATTGTATGTTTGTAAACGCACTCCTGACACAGGAGAAAATCCTTGTGTGGGGCAACTTTTATTTAAAAATAAAAACTACCTTTGTTTACAAAGTTCCATATTACACGTAATGAAGTCAAAAACCATTCGTTATGTTGGAGTATCAGTTACAATATAGGTACTATGATGTAATCGATACAGTGACACCCAGGATGGCTGTGGCCGACACATCACACACAGCCGAGCCGTAGCTGGCGTGGACAATCGTGTATATATCTATATAGGTACACAATGTTCATTGTCTACAGTTGCCAGGGAGGAAAATCAATCAACTGGAAGTCAAAACTATAACTGTTGTTATGTGAAAACTATCATACGACACGCCTGTTGTGTGACGAAGTGGTAGGCAGGAACTATACAATTGTATACTTATATTGAACTAGCACCAGCACACTGTGGGCAAGAATTTCTTGTAACTGCATGTAAATGCATTGCTAGATTGCACGCGAAATACACACACATACACACACGCTACGTGACGTAGGTGGCGTGATGCACCTTACCAAGCTGTTGCTCTTGTCGACACTGAAACAACATGTTCAGCATCCGATGCATGGCAACTTCACCGTAACCAAGTCACCTGCAGTCCACAGCCAGCGATGTACACGCTACACCAAGATACTCACGTACACTACTGCTGGAGTTAAAACAAACAGAATCACTATTGAAGTAAAATAGATTAGTTTGATGTGCATTGCAGACTCAGAAGGAAGGCGCGGGCCGGAGAGAGTGGTGAGGCAGCAATGGTGAGTGACACCAGTAGGAGAGTGTCTGCGTGTGAGCAGCCACGTACTCGGGCTGCTCTAAATAATTGATTGATAGATGTAAAAACTAATGGAAGCACGTAAAGTGAGCACAACGCACTTGTTGCAATGTAGTTGACGATACATGTGTAATGTGCTAGTGTAGAAATGTATCTGCCGTCAAATGGTGCTGTTCTCGAAGAAAATAAGTAATTAAATAATTTAAATATGAACTTGACAACCAAATCAAGTTACGAAGGAAGAATAAAAAGAAATACATATCCAATTTATGTGTATGCATGTATAATTAAGGAGCTAATATAATTAACTCGCAGAGCAGTCATCAAGTTACTGAAAGTAATAATTTAAATCTACATCCATATTATACTTACATATACATTACAAGAAAACTTTTCTTACAAATATATAAGTCATGTAATCAGTCTATACACAATGCGATAGCACATAATATACTTAGGGGCAGAGCACAGGTAATCAAAAAATAGCGGCCTGAACGTTGACCGTATAAATAGGATGAAATGGAATTGAACGAAACGGAATAGGACAGGACAGACTAGGTCAGGATAGAATAGAATCGAATAAAATGAAATAGCATCATAGTATTGAATATAACAGAACAAAATTAAATAGAATGGAGTGGAAGACCTTTATAAATATAAGGTTAAGGTTTATAATAATTAATTGATCATTGAATCATGGAGATTGTCCATTAAATAATTTTTTCTATTCTATCCGATCAGAGTTTGTGCCACATCGGCTGCTACACACAGACACAGTACAGATACCACAAGTGTTCATTTGGTCTCAAAGACGAGTGGGTTCTCCTCAGTGCCGGTGAGCACCACGGTGTACTGTCCCGCGCTGTACAACCTCATCTCCTGCTCGAACAGTATGTTGTTGATGGCTTGCTTGATCATGCTCTGTGTGCGCTCGTCGTGCTTCCTCAGCGACATCGCTATGTACTCTCCGAAGCTGTCGCACTCGTCTTTCTTCCGCGACAGTTCTGACTTCTTCAACAACTTCAGAGTCTCTAGGAGCTTGCCATCGAGGGAGTCGTGGTCCCTCGGTAGCTTTCGTTTCATGGACTGTGTCAGTTTGCTCCTCATGTACGATCTGGGTCGGCCTAGTCTCCTCGGTTGCGCGGGCTGCACGGGTGGCGAAGGCGGTGAGGGCGGCGAGGGTGGCGAGGGTGGTGCCTGCACTTGTGCCACGGGCACGTCGTATATGTCCGAAGTGCTCGGCTCCTCTTTTATTATTACCTGTTCATGTTCCTCCATCTGCTCCTCTTCTGCTTCTTCTTCTGCATCTGCTCCTGCTGCTTCTGCTTCTGCTCCTGCTACTTCTTCTTCGTTATTATCCGATGACTCGCCTGATTTCATTTCTGTTGCATAATCTGAAGAGGCCTGCGAAAGATAACAAGCACCTTAATGGTTTTGTTTAACACATAAGTACCAGAAACCGCAGAAGACATACAAGGGACCTCTGCGATATATTAACGTTGCATTAGGCAAACGAGTGAGTGAAAATATCAAAGTGGAACTTGAATTGAGTCAGTCAAACTCAAACCTACGTCTAGGATAAACTCAACCTTGATATATATAGATAAGAATTAGTTTTCAATATATATAGATAAGAATTAGTTTTCAATGGACTATAGACGTCCAAAGTTTATTTTCTTAATTCACTAATATCAGTAGGTAGCAGATATTGATATTATTGATACTGATAATGTATCAAAGTTTTCCACGCAAATCTGAGTAAAATAAGTACCTATCTACCATGCTGTATTATGATTTACTGCGGCGAATTCCATTTTGTTGTTATTGATACAAATAGAAGTCCGCGATTCAAAGATACTTTTAGTAAAAACAATGAAACAATTCACTCTTCACAAAATAGTGATCCTATAACATAAATATTGGCTACTAGTTACGGTAATCTGAAGATATATAAAAATAGAAACGTAATGTCAGTTGTTGTTTATCATTACACTATTCCTGTCTTAAATTAAGATTTTTATTAATTAAAGAAATGATAATGAATCTGCGGGTCTAATGTGCAAGGAACTGAAGACCAACAGTAATGTTTTATCGAATCGGTTTGATATCGGAGGAGAGATGCCCTTCACAGTTCTGCAATAAATCAGTCAAATTATTTGATTATTTCCGACGTTTAATTTCGTTGATAAAACGTAGCCTTCATTATATTACTGTTTATTAGGATTAGAGGATTAGAGAACAGATCTTCAAATAGACCAGGAGACAACGTTGTCAGGAAATGTAAAGAAAATAGATTTGTTTATATTATGGACGATGACAACAGAGTTTCGACTGCCATTCATAGTATCTACTGTCAAATATATTGTACACAAGTATTAATATTTAAAAGCTTTTTTAATGTTTTCTCGTACGAAGGCGGTCGTTCTCAGTGTTTTGAAGACAATATCAAGTCAAGGGTAATTAATTTTGATAAAGCTGAAGCCGTAGGGAAGGAAGTTAATTTCATTGGGCTCCAACTAAATCATGATTAGGAAAAAATACTCTGAGCCTGTAAAATATTTTCATCGCTTTACAAAATTCCAGCACAATCCTCGAACGTAAATCAATTTGATGTGAACCATTTTCTAGTTGTGCTCTGTTTCATTATAAATGACAAAGCATCCAAAACAGTATAAATTTGTTAATAGGTTACAAAAATACCCCACTCTAAGACGGGTACGTTTAAATAATACATCACTCTCAGACACGTAACAGTAATAAGTACCTACATCCTACAAATAAATAGTTGTTTCGACTGGGAAACGAATCCGTAACACATTACCTTCTTATATTCGTAGTCCCCAACATTATAGTTTATTTATTTATTTAATATGCTTCATGCACAAAATGTACAAATAGGTGGACTTAATGCCGCAGGCATTTTCTTCCAGTCTGTTTGACTTTTGGGTGATGCAGAGAAAAGTAAATGGTAGGTGCAAGAGGTAAGCAATGATTTTATTTGACAAATGATAGAAAACTAGCATATTTCAGATATATCCATACATAATTATAATTTATACCTACACACGAGTACAATAAACCTATATACATACATACATAATGTATAAATATATACTTGCTTACTGATACACAGTGGATAGTTAGCGTGATGATTCAGCCAACCTCTTCTCTCAAGAGAAGCTCACGTAAGAGTAATAGATAAAGTACTTTATGCTTAAATGTTGGGGTTTAGTGTAGGACGAGACGAGACAGTATAGCTTTTGATTTTAAGTAAATAAATAAATAAATTGATTGATTGCTTCCACGTCTTATCAGTGGAGGAACTGTTCATGTTCGGAACATGTATTATAATGTGTAATACAAACAACGTACATTTTTTTAACGTTGTCCAACACTAGTCCAACACTCCTGTGTCGTGGGTGCGTTTACAAACATACAATTTCACATAGGTACATATGACCCCAGACCCGGAACACAATTTGTGGATCACACAAACAGTTGCTCCGTCCGTTCTGTAACTGTCTCGGATGATGCAACGTGACGCAGTGTTACGCAGGGCTGGCAGGGAACCATCTCTTACTTTGTAGCCTTTCCAAGTTAATGTAAATTAAGTGTCGATAATTTCCACTCTGGTTAAAATGGCTGAATGACAATTTAAGAACATAAGAATGCAGTAATAGTTACCGGTACATGTTGAGGGCTGTTGTCGGCCGCCGGGTGCGAGGGTCGCTCCACGTGGTTCGGCAAGAACTTCAAATAGTCATACAGGAACCAGTGTGTTTTGCCGCCGTGGCGTATTTTGATTTTCTCTCTACGATATGAGGCTAATATTGAGTTCAACTTTTTCCGTATTTCTGCAATGGGACAGTCGAACTGCGCTGCCAGGTCAGACCAGGACTCGTACTTGGTGGTGGGCTCTCTGTAGAAGGGGTGCGCCCTACACCACAGCACCCTCCGCTTCCTGTACTCGTCCAGCAGTCGTATCATCGCTTTGATCGACCAATCCATGCGTTCGTTTTCGTCCATCTTGCGTCTCCCTCGCTCGCAATGTCAAGGTCGATAGTCGATACCGCGCGCCGCCCGCTCACACAGTCACACAGTCACACCGAACTAGCGCGCCGCCCGGTGCCGCGCGCTTTTTTTGATAAATAAAAATATTTTTATGGAAGCGAGCAGCGAGCACGAATGTGATACACACCGACACAGGTTCGCTCGGTCGCGGCGCGAGCGGTACTGCGCCGGCTCGGCTCGGGGCTGCTCGGGCGCGCTCGTGTGCGCTCGCTCGCTCACTCGATCGATGGACATACAGCCGCGTTACATCACTGTGTGATCACTGGTCTCGCAGTAATGTATAGCCGCTACGTATCAACATGATTGTTTTAACCTTTTCCATTTATTCTACAGAAGTTGGATATAAAACGTTACGTTACTTCATAATTATAAACGGCGTAAACTAATAAGAGTGTGACATAAAAAAGGACGTTCTGTAACGGTCAATGTTGGGTTCTTTCCTCTTTGTACTTTGTAGTCTACATTCCGCGGCCACATTATTAGACGCACTCTTATTTTATTTAGTTTTGTAAAGTAGTTAAATATTCATACCCAATTGTGCGTGTAAGGAGTTGCAATACATGTATGTATATTGTATGTACGTATGAATGATAAAGTGTGACATTGTATAATTGGTACAATTGGTGAAATAGTTTGGGATTTTTTTTTAATTCGAGTTTCATTATTTACCTACAATGAAGTATCACCCAAATAATGTAAATTCAAATTAATCCTACCAACCACTGACAATTAATCTGTTGAAGTAATCCATTGATAAATAATAAATTGAGTAATAATTGTCTGGAAATAGACAAGAATTGATGATGTTTAATCGCTGGCTACTACAATACAGAATGGAAGTCTTACATTTCAAAACGTGAAAATATTTTAATAATGAAGATTCTTTGTTTAATACTGTCGAGAGATTTACTTTATCATGTTCTTAAGATCATGTTTAATTGTACAGTTTAAATCATACATTTGTAATAGAATTTATAATGGTCTAGCTCCTTCCGCGCGTTTTACCCGCTCTGTTCGGTGACTATTGATTGTACGGTGCTGTTTTATAGATAGGCTATAAGCTTTTTCGATAAATGGACCATTTATGATAAAAATTAAAATTAATCTGTATCATCTTTATTTACACACATAACATCACGCCTTTTATCCCCGAAGGGGGAGGCAGAGGTGCACATTACGGCACTTAATGCCACTGTATAATGTAACACGCACTTTTCACTATTTATGTTATGAGTTTCATGTAATAGGGGGTGAGCCTATTGCCATATACCGGGCACAATTCCAGACTCCGTGCTACTACTGAGACTTTTTTAAATCCAGTAATAATTTGCCCGAACCGGGAATCGAACCCGAGACCCCTTGCCCGGCAGTCGCACTTGCGACCACTAGGCCAACGAGGCAGTCTTAATTTAGTAACTAGAGAAAATGTTGCTTTATTTCTTTCATTTCGTTTCATATTGTGGTTCCTCTAAGTATACGAAAGGTGTATGAGAAAGTTTTCAATAACATAGGGGTCTCCTAAAAAAACGTCCATAAAAAATATTCCTCGCTCAAAATAAACACACGAGAAATAACTTCACGGTAGCAATCTCTGGTAACAGCCTGTACATCAGTATATGATATACAGGGTGCTGCCGAACTGGGCAATAAAACAGAGGGAGCCACCTGCGCTCGCTCGTAAATTCTCGAATCATTTCGTGTGATTGTTGGAGCACCCCCTACACGGTCGTCACGAGGAAACAACTGAATTGTATTTAATATAACAGAATACACACAGGTACAAATTAGAATTAAGGAAAATAATAATTTTACGAAAATACCTACCTAACTAAAGACGAGTATTGCACATTAACTTTTAGAATTATATATTAAATTTTGTGTGATATTCGTGTCATTTATTACTTAGTACAAAAACGATTTCTCGATTCGAGGAAAGTAATCGACTAGTTTCAACGACTATCTAATAATGGTAGCTCTTTAAAAAAACATTTATCGCTGGGTAGGCATTGCATGTTCCTATGTATTTCCAGAGCTAAAACTAAACTATGATAAATTTGGAGTACTCCAGGACAATAAATAACGTGCATAATAATTACTCATAAGAGGATACAATTTAATGACGTCATCAAGTTTAAATTCTATCACATTTGATTTTCCTTACGTCGCGTCGTATTCCCATACTTGTCATTTAGTACACAATGACATAATAAACATTATAGGGAAATGAGTACACACATCTAACTGTACAAACCAGTATAAAACGACCGTCAAATCTGCGGGAAAGTTATACAAAGTCAAAGTTAGACCATGATAATTACTGATGACTGAACTGATTACGTACCTACAGCTTGATTTTTAAACGAGTGTACATAAAAGGTTAGGCCCGAATTGAGAACCTCCTCCGTTTTGGGCTGTCGGTTAAAATGCAGCGTGTCAACTGTCAGAGTGTACTCCCCAAATGTAGGCTCTAAGCAGCAGGGACACTTACTGCCTACTCATGATGATGCAATACCTTGCCACGCAAGATGGCGGTCGTAACAAGAATTTCAGGCCCTAATGAGCTACCCAACTCCCCTAGTTAAAGTCATGACAAACTACTTGCTGAGCACAAATAGTTTAAACTTCTTGAAATGGCTTCAATTCGAGGGACGGGGTGTAATTGTCTTTAAGAGATTTTTGTTAACATCATATTGGTATAAGTACCTTAATCTTTCTAATTTCGCAACCAACTAGGCTTCGGTACTAAATGATACGTTAAATATGAAATTACCTAGTACTTATCTACTTCGTCTAGACTTTAATGCCAGCCTGCATGACCTAGCACGATCTAGCATAGAAAGTGGTAATCTAACTTGTTTTTATACAGCGATTTGTCTAGACAAACTGCCTGGCAGGATAGAAATTGAAAGTGACAGCTTACGTGGACACACTGAGAAGGGGTAACTATGTACATTGTAAGTATTTAATATAATGCAATATGAACTCCAAATTTGTAATAATCGTAAATTACTCAGTGAAGTCGAGGGACACTTAGCTTAGACGCTAGGTACATTTGTTATTAGATCATTGTCGTCATCAAATGTTAATATTTTCATAATATCTTTGTGATTTACGTAGAAGCAGCACCAGGCAGTGCCTACGTGTCTATCTTTAAGTATTGGGTCTGAATGTGAGTTGTGAGTTGACGTCAAGCGCGCCCGTGCCGTGATACGGCGGGCGTCGGCTGACGGTAACAATTGACAATCGTTCACAAAGACACAAAGGATGAACACGATTTACTTTGATTCGAACATTAGCATCGCTATCTGGGATATATGTATATTGAATACGTCAGAGTGGGACGTACAGACTTACAGACATATAGACGTGCAATGTATCACAATGAGACGTTGCAGCTGTAGTCCTCACGTACGATCAGAGGCTCTTGATAACTCAATGTCACTAATTATTACATTTTGTTTGTTTGTGAGCGTCTAACACATTATCACAAAACAGCTTTCCATTTTTCCAGGTAATGACCTGGGATGGGATATATAGTCGGGAATATAAAGATAAAAACTTTGTTTGTTTTTTTTAAGGCACTAACCTCCGAAACTACTGGTTCCTATTGAATAATTCTTTTTGTACTGAATAGTCTCTTTATTGAGGAAGGCAAAACATCACGCTATGATCAATAGGAGTCGAGTAACAGGTGAAACCGCGCTGGAGTAGCATAGGTTAAAAATCTCCTTGCTGAGTATCTAATAGGTATTTAGTAACCCGAGAGTACGGCGCGTCGCGTTCCGCGCGCGCCTCAAAGAGCCATCAGACCACCACAGATGGGGCCCAATAGGGCCAATGCCGATTCGGAGTCGCGGAGAACCTAACGGGTAACCGGGGCTCCGGCTCGACGTGCAGGAGAAGGAACGGGGTGGTTTTTAGTCAGTAAGAGTCTGACACTCCCTTCCGCCTCACCCAGGCGGGAGCAGTCATTCGATGATTTTCCCCCCTTAAAAAAAAAAAAAAAAAGGGTATTTAGTAATACCCGCATTATTTGATAGCATTCATTGATCAGAAATCTAGAAAACTCTTACCATTTATACCTAAACGTTCTTTATACGTATATCATGCAGTTGTACAACAAATGGAAGGATAATCCTGCAGTAGTGTGCAGTGCTGTGACCCTCACGGTGTCATTATCACAGTCTGCATCAAATGTTTCCTTGCCGGAAACCTTGCCGATCTCTTCTCAGTCTACTTCAATAGGTTTTTTCCTTTGTCGGCTCACAGTTGCATTTATACTAACGTTACTTTATTAAATGTATTCTGAAACAGTCTACATGTTGTTTAGAATGTATTTAATACATTTCTGACTGCAGAAGACCTAGCGGGTTACCGGGGCTTTGACTCCAAGCAGGAGTAGGAATGGGGTGGTTTTTAGTCAGTAATCGTCTGACATTCCTTCTCAGCTCACTCAACCCAAGAGAAGTCATTTGGGTGATCCAAAAAAGAGTAGATACATATCCTCACAGTAATTCCCGATACATCGAATTATAATTCATTCGGTAGATACAAATCGATTTTTCTAGATGACACAACCATCCACCATTCACAATAATTCCAGAATGTGTGTGAACGTAAACCTCACCACTCACCAGCCTTAGCAACAGTAACGAGGCTTTACTCAGAAATCAAACCGCGGTCGTCTTGTCTTCGGAAAATTTACAAAACACATGCTTCCGAGAAGCGTATGTTTTGTAACAAAGCCGATTGGAGCTCAATTATTTGGAGCATTCTGGTTGCTACGTGAGCTCTGAGATAATCTTCCACTATCTGTGTACCTGGCTCCGTTCACGTCATTAATTTCTCTGAATTTCAAAATCAGGCCATTTTTTTGCCAAGTTTTAACTATGACACATAACTTCTTGTTAGAATCAAGTTTATAGTGACATTATCACGTTTTCCTTGTAGTGACTATTTCATGAAAAAGGGATTTGTGTCGTCATTTTTAGAGAAACAGTAGGATTTTATTTGCAGTTTAGTTCCTCTTTTGTTTCTATAAAGTAATTTCGATGAAAAATCATTATAGAGAGAAATCTCTCTAATTTTAATAATAACTGAAGTTATATTGTGACGTTATTACAAACCCATCAGGTTTTGCTACGTAACC